GCACAACAGTGACACAACTTGAAATCTCAGCGGGCCAAAAAGTCAACCGACATGTTGTTTGTTTCTCGGTTCCGCTGCTCCGTGCCGTAACGAGCCAGCTGCTAAAAAAGGCGACACCCCATTTGAATCCTCGCCCTCTCTCGATGTCAGCACAAAACCCAGCTCTCTCTCTCTCTCTCTCTCTCTCATCTCTGATCTTAGACTAATAAACATCATTAGTTATGCTAGTAGTCATTTAATCACTTCGCTTTGCTCATCGTCGCGTTGGTAGTCGTGGAGGCTTTGTTCTTTCTCGGCACGCATTTCGCACGTGCATCATTGATTTCCTTTACAGCTTTTCCCGCCTTTTGAGACCCCCTGCTGTAATGATTCCCCATCAAAATAATGCCATCAACGCATTAATTAATCAATAAATAAATAGAGTTGGGGAAATGAAATATGTTTTGCTACATGATCCAAATTCCAAAATATAGAAAAATGACCCAAAATATAGAAACAATAGGGATGATCAGTTCATTATGCAATAGAAGAAAAATACATCACTTGTCCCTCTATTGATGCCATATTTCGAGTCTTTGAGGGATTTTTGTATTTTTGTATGATCAAAATATATCGAAATATTTTGAAATTTTATTTTCTAAAGAGATTACTTGTACGATATCACATCAATGATTTGAATTCTCAATTTCACGATCCGAAATTTAAATTCGGGCCGATAGTATTTAGCACGCTGAATATTTTATTAACAACAGCATAGCTCAACTCCATGCAGAAACTAAAAAAATTCCTCAATGACCCAAAATATGAGACCAATAGGGGGGGACAAGTGAGATGTCTTGGATAATGTCATCATTAATGATGGCCAACTCATTATCCAATAGGAGGTGGACACCTCACTTGTCCCCCCTATTAGTCCCATATTTTGGGTCCCTGTAGCAAAACTCGCAAAAACTGAATTTAAAAAACCGACAATTGAATTTTGTAATTTGAGCTATAGTTTCATTTGTCTGATTTTAACATTTGCTTAATATTTTTAAAAACCTCAAATATCCATGAAAATTAACTCCAAAAAATAAAATAAAATAAAATAAAGTATTACCTATAGTCAGCAGCATTGAAAGAATACGATCTCTTTTGCAGCGAAAAAACAGAAGAATCCCCGTCATCACCATCGCTATCAGCTTTCTTCTTCGCCTCAATCAAGCTCCCGCTAAAGCAACCCTCCTTCCCTCCGACCGGAGAGCCCGAATCCGAACCTCCACGTGTCAAAACGGCCGCGCCGCCCCTCGTCATCGACGCCGATCCGCACGAAACGATCTGCATCAGGACCTCAGAAGCCCGGAACCTCCCGCTGCCGACCGCCCGATCCTCCGACCCGATCTCGATCTCCTCCCTATCAAGAACCAATTTGCTCCTAATTTTCTTTTCCTCGGTCTGAGTGGAGGCGTCAACGATGAGATCGGACCTGGAGACTTTATACTCGTTGAGATCGAAGGAGTCCCATGGAGACTTCTTCTTCTTCTTCCTGTCAAGGTCAGGAGCTCGATCGGAGCCGGTGGAGGAGGAGGAAGAATCTTGAGATATCGAGCGCGACGAGAGGTCCAGCAGCGGGAGCTCGGATCCCTTGAGCACGTACTCGAGGCCGTGAGCAGGATAGATGAAATCATCGTCGCTCAGATCTTGCCACACGAATCCATTCTTGTAGCTCCTAAGCGGAGCAGTTACGAGGTCAGATTGATGGAAATTTTGAAAATAATTTTAAAAAAAAAACTTATTCTTAATTATTCAGGACAGATATTATTAATTGGTTTGGGAGGTGCTACAGGCACACCACCGGACGCACTCTTAATCACACTCCCTTTTTTGCTACAGTACATAAGGCTCACACGAGATTTCTGTACTGTAGCAGGAGAGGGAGCATGACTGAGGGCGTTTCCGGTGGTGTGTCTGTATCATTTTTCAATTGGTTTATTATAACAGAAAAAAAAACCCTCAAAAAATTAAGGGACTGGAATCAACAATACCTTTTGGAGGACCAAGAGTACATGCTTGCCATTCCTCTCCCTCTCAGAGCATTAAGACGATTGATGACGTCTGAGGTTAAGGATTAGCAAAGATCGAACAAATCTTTTTGTTAGATTAGATTAAGTACTTCGATTGATGGAAAAAGCTATTACCTTTGAGATAGAGGCCATGGCTTGAGGAGAGGGGGACCTCCATGAAATGGGGATGCTCTAAGTGCCCGTTTCTCGAGAGGTAGTAGACGACCGCGATTCTTCTCCCTGGCTTCTTTGAGCTCGTGGGCTCAATCCAAACCATCCTCCTCTCTGGGCTGATCCCTGCCTCTGCTCTCCTTCTTGATTGGATCGCCATTAGAGTTTTTTTTTTCCTTTTTGTTGGAGGAGAAGTCAAAAAAAAAAAACTCTAGATTTGTTTATAAAGACGGAAGACAAGGTTGAAATAGCGTGGTAGTTTTGAGAGCGGGACTCGGATTCAAATACGGAGATGCTGGGGACAAGGGGGAAGTGACAAATTGGAAAGCCAGGGGGGGGTTTAGCTGTGACATGTGAAATGACAGATATGCCCTCGATCGAGTCCGGCTATTTAGATGCTGTTCCGTGGATAGGCTTGTAAATTCGGTGGAGAGGTAATTTGTTGAAGGGGTTTTTAGATAAAATAATGTTAGAGGCACACCACCCACCACAACCCCAACCACACTCCCTCCTCTCATTGCTACAGTAAACCGGGCCCTACATGGGATTTTAAATTTTTTAAAATCCCATGTGGGGCCCGGTTTACTGTAGCAATGAGAGGGGGAGTGTGATTGGGGTTGTGGTGGGTGGTGTGCCCCTAACACCACTCTTTTAGATATTAATCCCTTGGCTCTTGAATGTTTTGAAGTTAGGGCTCACATCATTTGGTTTGTTAAAAGTCGTTTCAAATAATTTAGCGTTTTTCTCACATTGGTCCCCCAAATCTGTGAGGGGTTGTTTGGTTGTATGTTTTTACCATGTAAAAGGATGGAAAATGTAAAAAAATGAGTCTCAATGTCAGCTTTCATCAATGACCCAAAATATGGGACCAATAGAGGGGACAAGTGAGGTGTCCTCTTCCTATTAGATAATGAGTTGGCCATCATTAATGATGGCCAACTCATTATCTAATAGGAAGAGGACACCTCACTTGTCCCCTCTATTGGTCCCATATTTTGGGTCCCTATAGCAAAGCTCTTTTACATTAAAAAATTCCTCAATGACCCAAAATATGGGACCAATAGAGGGCACAAGTGAGGTGTACTCTTCCTATTAGATAATGAGTTGGCCATCATTGGTCATCATTAATGATGGCCAACTCATTATCTAATAGGAAGAGGACACCTCACTTGTCCCCTCTATTGGTCCCATATTTTGGGTCCCTGTAGCAAAGCTCTAGATAATGAGTTGGTCATCATTAATGATGGCCAACTCATTATCTAATAGGAAGAGGACACCTCACTTGTTTACATTATTTGTTTAAATTCTCTTTTATATGAAAATCTTACACTTTTTGATGAGGTGTCACCGAAAGTAAAATCACCAAATAGGAGTGATTTTGTTGGAAAGCCAACACAATGTCATAAATGTGTCCAAAAAAATAATAATAAAGTCAAAACCTTGTAGAAAGTGGTTAGGTGGACAACCACTTTTCATTTTGTGTCATAAATACTCTAGTTTACATTATACTATCCAAACAATGTAATACTATTATTTTAGGATTCACAAAGATTCCTAACCAAACAATGTAAACACTCAAATAGAGAGTGGTGAGGTGGATAACCACTTTCTATTTTGTGTCATAAATACTCTAGTTTCCTAAAGGCATCCAAACAGCCCCTAAAGCTCTCTTAAATAAGTTCCTCTAATTTAAAAATTGGTAATTTAACTCTATATTAACTAAATTTCATTATTTTTTATAGTATGCCATCGTCTTCCCTTAAAAAGTTATGTCTAATACGTTAGTACTAGTAAGAGGGTGCAATATTGCAAGCACAGAAAGGGTAGGACAAGAGAATACAGGAGGAAAAATGTCTATGGAAAAGAGTGATCAAAACATATAAGACTAATGAAATCTAGTTAACTTGGAGTTAAGTTAATAGTTTTTAATGCAAGAGAACTTACAGATTTAGGTGACATATTTAAATTATATGACATGTGGACTTATTTGAGAAAAGTTATAAATTTGGAGGACATATTTAAAACATACCCATTTCGGAGACTATATTTAAAAATAGGTTTAGATTAGGGGATCAATATAAGAAAAACCTAATATTTTAAATTACTGTTAGTTGCTCTGATTCTTATTAACTTTCTTAGTATAGAATGCCAACTTTGACAAGAGAATTGAATATCCTAATAGCAATTTCAATAATTTGAGCGTTAATTTCGAAATATTGAAGATGCAAAAGGTACCAGTAAAAAAAACCCTTTATTAGAAGTTCGAGGCGGAAGCATGGTCAGCTGCTCTGCTCCGTGCAAAGTGGGGTTGACTCATAAATAAAGGGTGCTTTTTCACAGAAAGTTATCAATTTAAGATTATTTAGTGATACAGATACTAATGATTTCCTCTTTAAAAGTCAAGACTTTATTTTACTTTTGTCGGAAAAAGTTACAATCTTGTCAAGTAGCAATAATATCGATCATATAGCTCTCCGAGCATATCAAATGTAATGAATAGAATGAGAACGAAGGGAACCATACAATCTTTGTTTTCAGGTGTATTTGATTAGTTTGAAAAACAATGATTTTCTAATTTTATGTTGTTGCAAATCATATTTGTTGGGAGCTATACTTTGCTGTTTAGCAAGTTAAATTGTTAAAGTTAACTCAAACTGCTTTGGTGTTCCCATTCACCCGAGTGCAACTCAGTGCCAAGCAACGGACAATTGTACTTCTACATACTATGCCCCAATCAACTTGGCGGTCAGAGAGACTAGTAGGGACGACAACTCAATCGACTTGTCGAGTTGACACCCACTCATATCGACTCGAAATGCGGTACTTGTCGCTCCCTTTATCGAAGACGACTCACCACGAGTCCACTCGAATATTTGTCAGACGCCTCGTGAAGACGACTCGAAAGGCGTTACTTCTCGGCGAAGCTAAAGGACAACTTCTATCTCGAGCCTATCCTCACTAGCAACGTGTCAACATCGCCTTTAATACATGTCAGGTGCATCATGCCTCTCGCCCCGATAACCTTCACAACTCATCGGCCCATGTAGGTACTGTCATGCCGCCCATAGGCCTGTCCATCCGGGCCGGGCAAAAACGGAGCCCGGACCCGGACTCGGGTACCCCGGGCCGGGTCCGGGCCCAGGCCCGACCGGGCCGGGCCAAAATAAATTCTTTATTAATAATTAATAAATCATTTACAAATTACAAGTATAAATTTATTTTGGAATTCATCGCATCACAATAGATAAGTACATCCCAACTAGGTTTTTTTTAAAAAAAATTTTATAAAAAAATGCTAAAAATTAATTTAATATTATTATATTTTATATAATTATGTATTAGTATATACTTCCAAATTATTATGTAACTATATATTATATATACATATATTATATGTAAATATATTGTATATATTTATAAGTTATAATTTGAGAGAGAATGAATTGCATAAGTAGCCGTTGCCCGTTGGGCCAATGGGAAAGAAGTAGCTGTTGTAATATACTATACTTATATATACTTATATACTAAGAGAGAGAGTATACACACACACATATATAAAAAAGTATACTTATATAATATGGAGTATACATATATAAGAGAGAGTATACTTTTATATACATATATACTAAGAGAGATTCAGAGTATTATTAGCTATTTATATAATATATATTATTACCCACCACTTATATTTATACATATTATAAGAGAGTGTATATTTACTTATATATACTTATATAGAGAGAGTTATACATATATAAGAGAGAGTATACTTATAATACATACAGACCCGGCCCAAGGGGTAGCGGGACAGGCGGTTGCCTAGGCCCCCCAAAAACAGGGGCCCCATCCTCTTCCTCACTCCTACCTGCCGCAGACCCTCTCACATAAAAAAAACAGTAAGTCTCTCTCTCTCTCACCTCAATTCTCAAATGGTGGATTTTGATGCGATTTAATCAATTCTTAATTGTTTTTGGTATGGAAAAGAGGATTTTGTTAGAAGTGAGGAGAATTAATGGGATTTTGGTAATTTTGTTTTGCTCTTTTATTTGTGGTTTCCGTTTCCTTGATGGGTTTTTTGGAGAAAGTGTCATCTTTATGGATTTTTACATTGTTATTAAGGCTTGTGTAGCTTTGGAAAGAGTGGTGTAGTTTATTTTCATGGTTCCTGGAATTTGTATTCATAGTTCCTGATGCTCAATTTCGTTGCCTTTGGACAAAGAAACTATGTCTCACTTAAGAAAAATATAACGGAAAAAATGGTCTTCCAGGCGAAACCAATATTTATGATCGCTGTCTATTACCAAAACTGACATATTCAACCTCCATATCATAAATTAATCATGCTTTCAATCTTGTTGCAAGATAAATAAGTTTTACTTGAAATGTGGATGCCTAGATTATGCCCACAACGTGTTTGAGTTAATGTCGAAAAGGAATGATTTTGCTCGGGCTGCTATCATTTTTAGTTACTGGGTTTATAGTTAGTTTAAAAGCATTTATTACTCTAAAATCTCTTCTTTTTACTGAACTATTATCTGATTTATTTGCAGTACCATCCGGATGTGTGCAAGCGTGTTGTCGTGTTGATCTGAAATTTGTTTAAAGTGAAACTATTCAAATTTCAAGGTAATTTTATAACTTTATAAATTATAATTTTTGTTGATCTTATGTATTTTAGTATTTGTATATAATTTTTTGTAGATCTGAAATTTGCATTGTTGATTGATCATATTTTTTCAGCGTTCATCAAGCTTCCTAGAAAGTATAGTTCTGGATATGAAAAAAGAAAAAAGAAACAAAAATTGGCCAGGGTGGGTAGCTTAGGAGAACTACATTGTGTTTGATCCTTGGGGTTAGTTATATCATCCCTTGGTATGTAGGCAGCCCTAAAGTTACTTGGGTGCAACACTTTATTTAAAAAAAAAAATCTTGAATATAGAAGGGCCCCTTTAGTATTTTTGTTCAAGTTTTTGCCTAGGGCCCCCTAATGCTCAGGACCGGTCCTGTATACATATATACTAAGAGAGAGAGTATATATATACATACATACATACATTATACATATATAAGAGAGAGTATTCTTATATATACTTATATAAGAGAAAGTATACTTATATATACTTATACATATATACTTATATAAGAGAGAGTATACTTATATGAGAAAAATGGGTATACTTGGTACCAAGGATCATTGGTAGTGACGTGGACACATCTTGTCCATACATCACACCTTGAAGATGGAGCCTCACAAACTCCAAGGTGTGATGTATAGACAAGATGTGTCCACATCACTACCAAGGATCCTTGGCCCAAGTATACCCATATTCCTCTACTTATATATACTTATATACTAAGAGAGAGTATATATACACACACATATGACATATTATACATATATAGAAATATATTATATAAGAGAGTGTATACATATATAAGAGAGAGTATACCTATATATACATATATACTAAGAGAGAGTATATATATACATACATACATACATTATACATATATAAGAGAGAGTATTCTTATATAAGAGAAAATATACGAATCCGGGCCGGGTCGGGCTCGGGCCGGGCACAAAAGACTCATCCACACACGGATACATATTGACTATGTGATCACTAGAACATCAAGACATACACATATACAATCTTGTTTTCAGGTGTATTTGATTAGTTTGGAAAACAATGTACTTCTAATTTTATGTTTTTTCCAATCATATTTGTGGGAGCTATAATTTGCTGTTTAGCAAGTTAAACTGTTAAAAATAACTTAATTCTTATTTATGTAACTTTTTATTTATTTACAAAAAAAAACTCAATCGAGTCAAAGCTGTTTATTCTTAAGGGTTTATTATTATTATTAGAAACCGTCTTAATAATAAGGTAATTATACAGAATCTATTCAATGTCAATTTATAGATATATCATCTTTAAAGTGAATCTTTGTTGTAACCAAACCACCTCCCGACCAAATTTTCAAAAAAAAAAACTTTAAAAGCATTAACAAAATGAGTTAGGTGCTTTGAATGAGAGTTTTCAAAAAGTAACTTGAATTGAGTATTAAAAAAAAGAAAATAAGAAAAAGAAGAAGAAGAAAAGACTAGGAGGTGGTTGATTGTCATACAAACCAACTTAATTTTAAGGTGGTTTATATAAATTGACATTGAAGAAGTGGTTTCTTTATAACAATCTTCAGTTGCGAACCCAGAACTTCTGAAAGTAGTGTCACGATATAATAAATAATAAAAAAAATTTCAAAAAAATATATTTAAAAAATGATCATGATTTTATAGTCAATAAGGACACTATGAATCTGTTTGATCAATGCTTAAGGTAATAAGTGGTGTAAAATGCAAAAAAAAAAACCATACGAATAGAATAGTCTAACAACTTACCATTGAACTAAATGGGTAATAAGCAGGGCATGAATTATAAAATTATGGATCTTACCAAATAGTTAACAACTTACCATGGTTAATGCTTGAAATGATGAGTTGTCAACTATACGCTTGAAGTGTGAAATGGTAACATGTTTGATGTATGAAATGGTATAAATACATGAATGTTAATAAGTTGTATATAATCTATTTCTACCATTGAAGTTAATATTCTACCCCACTTATTAACTAAAAAACATCATAATTACCCATCATACCTGGAGGGAGTGGTGTCATATGGTGTATGTAGATCCACCAATGACCACCCTATTCTTAAGGTCGTTTCTAAGAAGAAACCTTATTCTTAGGGTCCGTTTGGTTCGTTGTTTTGAGCCGTGTAAATGTTTTTCTTCTCCTGACACCTGCTCCACATCGACAAAACCCATTCTAGGGTTTTCGTTTCCCAGCTTTGGTTCGTTTCTCCCCCTCGTCCCTCTAGCCGCGGAAATCCCCTCCACATTAGACTTTTTTCGTCGCCCCATTTCCTTCGAAAACGAGAGGAAATCGCCCCCGATCTGTACTATTGTCAGATCTCGGGGTTTTGGGGGGAAACGCAGTTGAGGGCTAGGGTCACCCGCTTTTTCACTCTTCGCGCCTTGATTTCTCTTCGTGGCTTGCGGGAGTTCTATACTATTGATTTTGTGCTTGATTTCCATAGAAGAAGACCCTAGTTCCTATTTGTTGGTGTTTTTGTTGGATTTTGCTAAAAAATCAGCGCATTTATTGGGAAAAATTTTCGGGTTTTTTACCAACTTTGATCTTCCTGGAAACTGATTTCAGACCTAAGGTATGATTCTCAACTCAGAATTGATTTGTTGAAAATTTTGTATGGTTTGAATTATTAGGATGAAATTTTGCATTTTCTATAGTTATCTAAAAATTAATAGAAATTAATCTGAAAATATAATTGTAATTAACTAAAAATATTACTGTAATTAACTAAAAATTATATTAATTATTATAAATATAATTGCAAAGAGAACAGAAATGAACTGAGAATTATCTTAAATGGTCTTAAAGTAACTGAAAATATTGATGAAAATATTAACTAAAAATTTTCTTTAGATCTTGTTATGTGTCATTTAAGTTTTGATTATTGACATTGCATATGAATGCTTGGTAGGTATATTAATTATTTTAAGTTATGATTTTCTTTAGATCTTGTTATGTGTCATTTAAGTTTGTGGTTGCTAAAAGATTTCATTTTCCTAAGATGCAAGCAATCTTCTGATTTCATTCCTTCTGATTTTGCTCCTTCTAATTTTGGTTGTTGGGTTTGTGATTTCATTCCAGGTTGCTAAAAGATGTTCTGGTTTATGGTTACTGAACACAATTTGAGTTTGTGTTGATTACATGTTTGGGTTTGTGGTTGCTAAAAGATTTCCATATTTTCATTTCTGACTTTGTGGACTGTTTTGCTGTAACAATCTGATGCATTGGTTACATGTGCTCGGGAATGAGAAGTTGTGTTGATGGTTGGGTGGTTGGTTGGTTTGTGTTGTTGGTTGGGTTACATGTGCTCGGGAATGAGAAGTTGTGTTGATGGTTGGGTGGTTGGTTGGTTTGTGTTGTTGGTTGGCTGGTGGGTGTTTGGTTGGCTGGTGGGTGTTTCCTGGTTCATTGTTGGTTGGTTGTTGTGTTCAGGTTTGTGACAACTTCTATTTGTTCAGGTTGGTGGGTGTTTCCTGATTACATGTTCTGTTGTTCAACTTCTCTTTGAGCTCATGTTTGTGCACACCAATTTTGTGAGCTCTGGTTTGTGTTATGTTTTGTGCACATATGACATCTTCTCTTTTGCTCAAGTTCTATTTGAGCTCATGTTTTGTGGATGCTCTGTTGTTCAACTTCTATTTGAGCTCATGTTTTGTGGATGCTCTGTTGTTCAACTTCTATTTGAGCTCATGTTTGTTCATGACCAGTTTTACTGATGCTCTGGTTTGTGCTATGTTTGTGTTCAGTCACTTGGAGTTCTATGTGTGTTCAGATTTTCCGCACTATTTGTTGATTATGATACTGTTTGTGGGTGTTCAATTTAGGCTATGATGATTGTCAATTTTTCTAAGATTAGCAACATGCAATATCTGTTGATATTGCACTAGATGGCTAACAATGATGATATTAAATAAGTTTTGAGCTCACAGCCATAATTCGCATATACATGTGGCTGATTTATTTGACATGATGTCAAGAAATAATTTCAAATGATTTTTTGCACATAAAGTTCAACATGCATAAATTATCAGGTTCGATGCTATTTGCTATGTAATGATTTTTTGCACATAAAGTTCAACATGCATAAATTATCAGGTTCGATGCTATTTGCTATGTTATATGCTAAAATATGGCTATTCAAGCCGTTTATATGTTTTTATAGGTTCCAGAACTTTTTTTGGCTAATTCAGGTACGTATTTCATAAATTTATGAATAATCAGGTTATTACAGGTCTTGTTTATTTTTTCTTGGAAAACAGGTTTTGTGTGATTATTTTCATCTCAAACAGGTATATTTTATGTCAAATCAGGTACACAGTTCATGTTACAGTAGGTTTCATATGATTTCAGGTTTCGTATGATTTCATTAATACAAATAGAAATTTATAATTCATTCGGGATATTATTATTTATTCATGATACATTCGCACTTTTATATGATTAAGATAGAAATTTATAATTCATTCGGGATATTATTATTTATTCATGATACATTCGCACTTTTATATGATTAAGATTACATCCCATAACTAGCACAAATCCTACACACTTCAAAACCAACCAAACACAAGAAAAGTAGAAAATGTCAAATCAACAAAAGTTTTTCCTTTTTTTCTCATGCAAACCAAACACAAGAAAAGTAAATACATTGGTTTCCCACTATTTTTTTGTGCGAACCAAACCAAAACAATCTATTTCTTAGAAAAGTTTGGAAAACTAAAAACTTGTGTTTCTTTACATGGAATTACATTTCCATATATCTAGGAAACGAACCAAACAGCCCCTTAAGGAAGAAATATTAACGAGGTGGACGCCAAGCAAATTCTTTGCAGTTTTGATATCAACTTTTGATGAAGGGATTTCATACATCAAGTACACATCCAGTAAACATGGGAAGAAACAAAATAATTCAAGCAGAAAATCTGTTGATCCATCAAATTCACCAATGAAAAAGTACAGCAATAAGGGAGAAAAACCACAAGATCCTGTAGATTATACTAACTTCATCCACTAAATTTTTTGCTGCTGTTACTATAATGATTCTCAGTAATCAACAGTTTCTCAATATTTTAAAAAAGAAAGCAAGTTATACCAGGAAAAAATAATGTCAAACACAATTAACCTTCCATCTAAGCTAATAAGTAAATCCCAAACTCTAGCAATTCTAAAAGAAATGGAAGAGCACACACCATCTCCAACCCTAGAAAATACAAATAAATTTACTTTCATTCAAATCGAAGCAAAATTGAAAAAAATGCATAGGGTATTACTCATGAAACTTGCACAGTTTTTTTTTTAACGTTCTTTCAAAATAAACCAAAATTGAACGAAAATTATTAGTTATAACCCGTGAAAAATGAAAATATAAAATTTGAAGTCCACACAATAAATTTTCATTCTTTTGAAACGATAAAAAATTGTCAAAAATCATGGGTTATAGCTCATAAAAATCACGAATTTGGATGTACATATAAAAAATTTACTTTCATTCAAGATGAACTTAAATTAACAAAAACCGAGAGTTATAGCTCATGAAATGAATTTTGATACACATAATTTATTTACATGTGCTTTCTGAAAGCAAACGAAACATATAATAAATATCATAACTGAAAAGGGATAGAAGATCATGAACTGCAGTTGTTGTTCAAAAGCAAATGGTTTGACAGGACATTTTGGAACAGTCTTAAAAGCCAATCATCTAACGACTTGACAATGATCGGCTGTTAAAGCCAAACTTCTTACAGTCACAGTTCAGCCTATCTGTTATTCCTCTCAGAACTACTCATGCATTGATATTGTTTCTGCTCATAGTGCAGACTGTAGCATTCTTCTTCTCTTTCTCTGGATTAGGTAATTCTCACCTTTCATGAACTAATCAAATCTAGCTTTATAAAGAGACATAAACCACAGAGAACTTCTCAGCTTTGCAGAAAATATTGCAGAAAACCAATGGTGGTTGCAAGAAAAATTAGTTACCTGTCTTTCAAGAAGCTGATTGTATGCTCCCTTTGTAGAGAGATCTGCCCCTGCCTTCCCATTACCATACACTTGATACGTGTAAGGGTGAGCTCGCATCTGGAGATACAGCATCTATAACTCAATCATTCTCATACTTATATCTAAATAAATAAGGTAAATTTTCTGTCAACTAGACAACTGAATAAGATGACCTATAATAACTGAACAAACACTAAACTGGCTTCAGGAATAAACTACAGTGCATGCATCCCCATACTGGAACATTGGTTACTTGTAAACAATGTCATGTCCGTGCATAGAACACGAGATCTTTTTGTTGTGGTCAATGTACTACATACCGTTAATCTCAAGTTGTTTATCCAAGATAAACAAGTCTTGGGAATTTAACTAAATAAAAACCACAAGAAAAGGCCCTATTGTTCCATTTATGTAGAAGCAGTTTGGGCCTGTTCTTGGTTGTACGACTAAAGTTGTGTAACTGATACTGTAGAGGCCAGCTTTGTTTACTTGTAGGGCGTAAAGTGAGATAAAGCACAACCAATATTTGTAGGTTATTAGCGCCCAAGTGAACCTCTTGAAAGATGATGTAGCAAGCATGTTACTGTTAACAAATAATATTGATACTTCTAAAAGCATGCTGAATATAATGCTCAGTCAGTAGCTGATTGCAGTGACACTGTGAATGATCTTGCTAGAAGGATCTAAATCTAGAACCAGATAAAGAGGGAAAAAAGACTGGGAAAAAAATAAGAATATGGTACGAAACCATGGTCACAAAGATAAAAAAAATCAAAACAATCAATGTTGGCCTTCTTATTTTGATGATGATTTACAAACAATTTACCACTAATGTTGTTTGTCTAGTGTTTGTGCATTCCTATGCTTTGTAGACAAACAACGTTGTTGGAGGTTGGCGGAATTGTGGAGTGAAGCATCGTACAATTCAAGTTCAAGATCCAAGTTTAGCTTCATCCGCAACGTGTACCAAGTTGAGCTCAATGAAAATCAAGATTGCTTGGGTAATGTACCATACATGTTTTCGTCAAAAGTTTGCCTTCATCATTGATTTCATTAAACTTTATACGTTACAAATGAATTCAAACAACAAAGAATAAAAATTATAACTTTCTTTAAAATAAACACAAGATCCGTTCGTCGTCTCTTGCTTGCGTGGGTCTTTAGCCTGTGACGGGGATGTTGATATCCGTGGACTACCTGGCAATCAGATCTGGTCCAGAGCTTCGTCGATCCGCGAGGAGATCTAGAAGCTTGAAGCACCTATCTCGATAAAAGCGAGATATTTGCTCTTCTTAGAATTACCACAACGGGATAAGACTAAGGATCGGATGCGGGCGATGTAGATCTGACGAAGAAACTCTCTTGCGTTGAAGTGCTCGATCACTCTTCACTCCGGCAGGGCTTCGCCAATTCTCCAAAATTCCAGATCTGAAAAAATGAGACCTAAGGCTTGTATTTATAGGCTTGAGGGGATAACGGAGCGGTTAAAAATGCTTAAAAGCCCAAATCTACAAGAAAGAAAGCTAAAAAAGGAAACAAACAAAAGAAAAAGGGGGGGGTGTGTGTCTCGGCCCTACACCCTAGGGTGTCTCGGCCTTGGCCGAGACACCCAAGGGTGTCTCGTTGGTCCGAGACACTCCTTTGGTGCTTTTTGATCTATTTCCGCTATAATTCATTCGTCCGGACTCGGATTTGAGTGATTCGAAGTGCGTTGGAAAGCCGACAGGGAGTTCTATCAGCTCCGATGGTTGGATCATCTGTTGAATGAATAAGACACGAAGGGCGTTATTCCTTTTGTAAACATCGCGGGGCTCTCGATTAGCCTGTACCTTCGTTATTCCGAGATTCTGTTAGTCCACGTAGTTCGTCGATTCACTTCAAGCGTTCACCGATATCAATCGAACTCCTGTAGACCGGATATTGATGTTCATCGTCGTTCCTTAACACTGAGCCGTTCATGGAGACCTATAGGCAATTTTTTATGCCTACAGATACCCCCTCCAAAGCGTTCCAGACTCGTTTCTTTTATAGAAGAGGCTGGAATACTTTGGATGTGATTGGTCCAGCCTTCAGTCGGCGTAAAGGACCTGTAGTTAGGTTCAACTCTCGGCTCCTTCAATTTTCGGTCTATTCAATGCTTTGACGAATAGCCGAAGTCTCTCCGGCGCTGCGTTTATCGCCTGGCCGTCGTCGGAGTCTCGAGTCTACCACCAGTGAGTTGAGTTTGGCTCGTGTTATTGAGTTGACTTTGAACTGACTATCTCTGTCATATTGTGCTGACTTAGTGTTTCAGATCATCGTATGTTGACTTTTGGTCGCAACGCGTTGACTGGCGTTGACCTAGGGTTACGCGTTGACCGGCGTTGACCCTAGGGTTTCGAATGTCGAATGTTGACTTTTTGTCGCGACACGTTGACTGCGTTGACCTAGGGTTACGCGTTGACCGGTGTTGACCATAGGGTTTCGAACGTCGAATGTTGATTTTTTGTCGCAACGCGTTGACTGGCGTTGACATAGGGTTACGCGTTGACCGGCGTTGACCCTAGGGTTTCGAACGTCGAATGTTGACTTTTTGTCGCAACGCGAGGGTTACGCGTTGACCGGCGTTGACCCTAGGGTTTCGAACGTCGAATGTTGACTTTTTGTCGCAATGCGTTGACTGGCGTTGACCTAGGGTTACGCGTTAACCGGTGTTGACCCTAGGGTTTCGAATGTCGAATGTTGACTTTTTGTCGTAACGCGTTGACCGACGTTGACCTAGGGTTTCGAACGTCGAATGTTGACTTTTTGTCGCAACGCGTTGACCGGCGTTGACCTAGGGTTACGCGTTGATCGGCGTTGACCCTAGGGTTTCGAATGTCGAATGTTGACACAATTTATACTCGTACGTTTACTGGAGTATACACAGTTTAAGCTCTTAAGGTATTAGAGCATACACAATTTAAGCTCTTAAGGTATTGGAGCATGGTGGTCCCAAGTGTCGGGGCTGCAGGACCAACTGTTAAAGCTGATTCATCTGCATTTGTGGATCTTATTTTAATATTGTTGGATAATCGAGTAACGAGACCAACTAACAGAGTTGATGCATCAATGACTCGCACTTATAGAATTTTTCAAACCCTCAGCCATCAACGGGTTTGATGAGCCTTTACCGACTACCGTTTGAGTCGGGCTAGCATGCAGATTGTTTAGATCCGTTCTGCACGTGACGTTAAGCTAAAAGAATTAACCCTTTTAGTGCTACGATATTGAATACATAGACTTCGTCTTTCTCACGGGAATAGACTACCCGGCGACGCGTGTTAGGCGTTATCTTTAGGATTTTTGGCTAACCCCCAGCCTTCAACGGATTTGATTAGCTTTTACCGACTACCGTTTGAGTCGGGCTAGCATGCGGATTGTCTAAATCCGTTCCGCATGTGACGTTGTGCTAAAGGAATGAACTCCCTTAGACTTGATACTACGACTTCGGGCTTCGCCATTGTTACGGGAATAGGCTACCCAGCAACGTGTATTAGACGCTGACTTATCCCTACTTAGGCTTCGGGATAAAATACCCCAGAATCGAACTCTGGTGTCTTTTTCTACGGAAAAAGACTAAACCGGCGACGCGTATTAGGCGTCGACATATCCTTTCTTGGCTAACCCCCAGCCTTCAACGGATTTGATTAGCCTTTACCGACTACCGTTTGAGTCGGGCTAGCATGCAGATTGTTTTGGTGTTATTAATAACAACCTGCCACAATGTTGAATATGTGGACGGATGTTCTTTTCAACGGTTAAGAACTAACCGGCAGCGCGGGTTAGGCGCAGACTTATCCTTGCTTAGGTTTCAGGATAGAATACCCCAGAATCGGACTCTGGTGTCTTTTTGTGCGGAAAAAAGACTAAACCGGCAGCGCGTGTTAGGCGCAGACTTATCCCTGCTTAGGATTCGGGATAAACTTCCTAGGATGAATCCTAGATTGATAAATTCTTGGAAAAGGTTGACGTGGGAAAGGAAGAATTTTATATTCTATTTCCCGGTCTTCTTTTAGGGTGAAGGCGAACCCGAATACAAGGAAGGAAGAATTTTATATTCTATTCCTTGATTCTGGAAAGGAAAAATTTTATATTCTATTTCCAGCGCAAAAGAAACTAGAAGTGGGATCTCCACTCAGAGAATCTGGAAGATCTAGATAAACTTACCTTTTATAGGATTAGTTATCTAAACTGAAGATGAGTTCCTCGTTTATCGAAGTAAAATTTCAAATTCGGTTATAACCATAAGAAGGCTTAACCAAAGAGAAAAAGTTTTGGTCCTAACTGTAGGAAGGTTTGACCAAGCAGGAGTTTGAGATGACCCTAACTGTAGGAAGGTTTGATCACTCGATTTGAAAGTGGACCTCTCGTTCATTGGAGGAATCGAGAGGGGATTTTGACTGTGGTCCTAACTGTAAGAAGGTTTGACCAAGTGGGTGTTTTGAGACAATCCTAACTGTAGGAAGGTTTGATCGCTCAATTTGTGGACCTCTCGTTCATTGGGGGAATCGAGAGGGGGGTTTTGGTTGTGGTCCTAACTGTAGAAAGGTTTGACCAGGTGACAGATCAAGATTTATTATATCCGGACTCTAACTATGAAAGTGTTGAGTGCACGAACATAGCGTAAGTTTGATTGGATTAAACTTGATCGAATTTGGTGGTCCCACCGTCAATTAGTCTGATCGGTGAGAGATTTAGTGTTCATCACTTTGTTCATATTGATCGGGTTATCCCTAAGAATATTAACATTCTTTTGGGAACTTCCCGTTACACGAATTATCCACCCCAGCTTTCTTGCAAAACTGGATGTAACGAGGAGTACGTTATCCTCAATCGCATGTTCAGGTTATCCTTAAGAATATATGATTCTCTAGGAACTTCCTGTTACATAAATCGTCCACCCCCAGCTTCCTCTGCGGAACTGGTTCGGACATTATTCTCAGTTACCTGACCGAGTTATCCTTAAGAATATTAGTGTAACATCCTCCAGGAAACCGGGTTATCCTTAAGAATATTAGCGTAATATTCCCTAGGAACTTCCCGTCAAAAGTGGGAAA